GCTCATTTTGATTTCCCCGATGGCAGCTGTTCCAGAACTGGGGCTGTGTGGAGCGACAACCCTCCTCCCCAGCTTTGGGGACCTTCCCCACCCTTTAGAAAGGCCAAGATCGACCAGTCTTGGAGGTGTGGTTTGGGCGTCAGCAAAACTTACCATACTTCCGCTTCTTAGAATGAGTCTGTCTTTTTGTTGAGGCTCACCACCCCCTTGTTTGGTGCGCTTTAAAGGGAAACCAGGAACACCGAAACCCATTTTGAGGGGTCCAATTCCCAACATTGCGGGTTCTTGGGTAGATGGGTGGTGAACATGACCAAGCCAACCCCCAAAATCTAGGTACCCCCCAAAAAACGCGAAAAAAACACGAAAACCTTCAGCTTTTTGGGTTCTCAGGACAACCAAAATCTGTTTTTTGCGGTCCAACTACTGGAAAACACACATGAGCCACAGACCCGCTCGAAGCTCCCGTGCAGGCTCTCCTGGAGATCTGCCAGCAGAAGGCGCGCGCCAAGAGAAGGAGTCGCTGCGAAAACGCCGCCCTGGTTGATACGAACTTAATGCGTATAGATGTATGAATCTACATGTAATTTCGAGTATTTATACGCACATATTCATACATATATATATATATATATACATAGACATATATTTGCTTATTTATATGCGTATAGCATGGGAGCGAAATGGACTAAGCGGCGTATATCACCGCAAGCAAGGGAGTGCTCCAGGCGAATGCAAATCTGGGCTGGGTGCCTTGGACGTTCTCCATGTTCGACAAGCGTTTTGGGTGTGTCTCAAAAGGGAAAAGAACCCCAAAAAGGAAGGTTTCCTTTTGGCTCCCATGTAAAACCAACCCCCGATGGTACCCTTAAAAGGAAGACATACCGTTTTCGAAACTTGCAACACGGGTCATGTTTCAGGCAATCCGTGATTGGTGGTTTGGATTGGTGGGAACTGGGGATCATACCTGGTTCTTGTAGTAAATGGGAATCCACCGCCGGAACACCTCCAAACCACCAAGATTATAGGAAAGCCGAATGTTGACTCACCCCTCGACCCTTGGACGAAACTACTTGACGGGTTTTGGTTGAGCTTTTCCTTGCCCTTATCGAATCGTCGGGGATCGACTTGCGCGTCATCTACTGTGCTTTGCTTGTGTACACACATGAATTATTTGTTGGTGTGTTTGCGTGTGTGTTGGGCTACCTTTGCTTGCCTGCCTGCTTGATTACTTTCTCGCGTAGTTTCTTGCTGGCTGGCTGGTTTGCTGGCTGGCTGGACAACCGTGCGTCTTTTGTTTATTTGGTTGGTTGGTCGGTTGCTTGGCTGGTTGCTTGGCTGATTGATTGATTCATTGCTTGCTGGCTTGGTTGATCGGTTGGTTGGTGGTTTGGTTTGGTTTGGTTTGGTTTGGCTTTGGTGTAATTTGTTTGTTGGTGTGTTTTGCTGTCTGTTTGTTTGTTTGTTTGTTTGTTTGTTCGTTCGTTTGTTTGCGAGTTTGTGAGTTTGTGAGTTTGTTTGTTTGCTTGTTTGCTTTTTTTGTTTGTTTGTTGGTTGGTTTGCTGTGTTGTTGTTATTGATTTAATGAGTTGTGTGATTGCTTTTGTTGCTTCCTTGCTTCTTTGTTTCTTCCATTCCTTATTTATTTGCGTGTTTATTTAGTTTCTTATTTCTTTATTCTTATTTCTTTCTTTCTTTATGTACTTATTTCTTTCTTCAGTACTTCTTTCCTTATTTATTGATTTTGTTATTTTCTTCCGGATTATTTTTCTGTGTCTTTCTGTCTGTCTGTCTGTATATGTATGTCCGTGTGTCTCTTGATTTGTTTTCTTTATTTCTGTCTGTTTTTGTTGTCTGGAATTTGTTATTTCCTTGTTTTAGTGTTGTTCAGTCCAATGGTTGCATGTCTTTCTGTCCTTGTTTCATTCTTTGCCTCTGTGGTCATTGCATTGTTTCTGGTTTCTGCTTCTCTGATGGTTGCTTGGCTTCATGTCATGTCTGTCGAAAACCGTGTCCACTTTGCTTGGTTCGGGTCTCGGCAGGCTGCGACGGCTGAGAAGCAGCACCGGGAGGTTGAAGCGCGGCACCTGGCGAGCGATGGACTGCCCCGTTTCCGAAATGCGAGGTTAAATCTTATGTCGACAGGGGATCCATTTACTTGTATAGGCAACCAAGGGAACCACCTTCTAAAAACCGAAAGGGAAACAGCAGGTTGCCTACTATAAGGGTTACTGGGATGCACTGGGTTCATTTGAGCAGCGCCCCAAACCCCCATTGGCCCTCTTTGTCCGGGGAGTTCTACTACCTGATTTAGAAAGGACTAGAGTGAGGCCTATCTAAACCCTTGCAACTGAAGTATCTTGGTAGAACCAACAATCAATGGATTGTTAGGCGCGGCTCATGGAGGGACATGAGGTGACTCACTATTCCATAAAAGCCAGGGGACTGAGGAGTTTGTACATGACCTGTTGCGTTACCAATCATGTTTCATGGCTTTCATGGTGCCATGCATGCGGTAAACATCGGCAAACGATAACCCCTTTCAGCAGTCATAGAAGCCGGCAAAAGGGCCTAGGAAGACCTTTTCGGCTTTCGGGCCCCTGTCGGCTGTGATTCTTCGGAGGGCATGACTCTTGTCGGACAGCTGTCATATCGTGTCATATCGCTGTGTTCTGCAATGCCTTGTTAAACACAGCATTTCAATGCAATTTCAATTCCCTTATTTCTTTGCTGGCCTTGTCAAGCATGTTTGTTCGGACAAACTTGAATGCTAATTGAAGTGGCTTTCTGCTATGGAACTATCTGGATCTCGTTTGAGAGAGAAGCCCTTCACCTTTGACCCAGGGTTCAAGTCATTCTTTGCCCTTCACCAACTTGGTTTGGATTGGCATTGGGGTTTGAATTGAACCCCCAGATTCGCTGGAAATTAAGCGGAAGCTACCCCCAAGCAAATCACCGAACGTTGGCTTCCACATTAGGAAGACTCCCAAGTTAAGCAGGGCTAAGAACCCAAAAGCCTTCCCCAGAAGGAACGTCCTCGTTTGCTTGGGCGTTCTATATTGTTTTCAGGGGTGTCAAGGTTTGTACGCGTATGCCCTGTTCAGCCCATGCTTCCACAGAAATGACAGGGTTTTCAAAATATGTGACCCGCAAAGGGAGATTCGCGTCAAGAGGGCCGCTATGTTGCTGAAGATACCCATGTGTGTGTGTGTGTGTACGAGCATATGCACATTTGACATATATATATATATATGTACACTATTGTTTACGATATGTATAATGGGTTCCGTAGATGCTTCCACCAAGCGTTTCTTGTGGCGAGGCAGTTCTTTATTCTTGCAGTTCAGCAAGCTGATCTTTTTTTTGATTTTGGAGTACAACCATGTACAACAACACTTCCTTGGTTCACTTGTTGGATTGAGACGAAACCATGCCCGCCTTGAGACGAGTGGCCGCTTCACTCCTTGCGGCTGATCTCTTGAGACCCTGTGACCATGTGGTTCGCGTTTGCGCCTTGTACTGTGCAGCTCGGCTAGGAAAGGAAAGGAAGCGAGGGTTGCTCCTCAAGCAACCGGTGATACCAAGGACCATAGGTATTCCTTTTAGGTTAATGTGGTTAGACATAGATGCCACTGGTTCAGATTGGTTTTGTTCCATTGCCCAGGGCCTTCGATTTTTCCGAAAGGTCACCTACGCCAAGGACATCTTCCAATCTTGTGCTTTATTTTATGCTTACCCCTGTATCCCTTTTCAGGGTCTTCCGTATTTTTCAGGTTTGTGAGTTACCTCCCTGCAAACATGGAACATCTTTGAACCTGACGGGAGGGTGTGAGAATGTTCTGAAAGAGACCCTCCGGGTGCTTGACAAGACTCCCACTCTTTTCAGGGCAATCAAAATCGACCGGGGGTTCTACTTAGATCCGGGCTTCGCATTAGATAGGGTGTCGCGACTGTGCCCAGCTTCAGCTCATCCCAGGGTGCTGTCAAGGGACACAAGACAGGGATCAAGAGCTCTCGGCAGCAGGTGCGCCCGAGCATTTGCCGTCACACGCGTCGCGTCGAATGGGCGGAATGCCGACGAGCAACACGTCGAATGTTCAAAGGGCACCCTTTTTGGGCTTTGAAAGGCCCAAAGGGAGGGGGGGGGGGCCTGACTTGGCAAACTGAACACACTTTCTTGCTGCTAGGTTTGTCCATCATTTTAGTAAAGGTTCAAAAAGCCGGTCCTTATCCAATCACTGAGTCCCGCTGTGCCCAAGACGAGGATTTGTGCCCTCATGATACCTCCGGCTTTGGTTGGCCATTTTGGTGCATACAATCGAGCACAAATGGGCCATGGGCAGTGCTAATTTGCAAAGACCTGTTTTTACAGAAGCATTCGATGCATCAATGCAGTTACCTACGTTGCCAATCCAAGATAAGCCAGTGAAGCAAAGTAGACCCTACTCCATTCAAGACGATCAAGACACATGTTCGGGATTTTGTTTGCTAGCTTGGAGGAGTGCGATTGTGTCCACCTGCATGGCCAATGGTGCTTAGGTGTAGAAAGTGGTTTGTTTGCAGCCCCTTTTCTTTCCAAACCATGCGCTGCGCCATGGGTACCAGTTAAGGCGTTTTGCTGTTCCAGTGACTGAGCGGCAGCAGATCCAGAGGTCTCACGGAGCCCATTCGGCTTTCGTGAATCGCCTTGTTCTTTAGCCTTGCGTTTTAGCTGGGGTACACCGGGTATCAATGCATTTAGCACGGGCTCTATACGTTACGCACGCAGGTGCCACGCTGCATTGAGAAACCCATAAAAGCTGCAGATGCTGCAGGTAGGCTTTCATCGTGCCATTTGAGTGGAACTAGCAGTCAGGCCAATGATCTCACCTTTCGGCAGGAATCAGAGAACACTGTTTCAAGCTGTGGATTCGACTGATTAATCACTGGGAAGGGCTTTGCCGTACAAATTCATTTGGCTCCATGTGGCCGGGTCGTCGCGCCACGTCCGTTTCGCTCTCTGCAGCCGATTGACGGTTGCAGCACCTGACTGCGCTGCCTAGCACCCCCGTGAGAAGGCAAGTGCCATGTTTAGCGCCTGGGACTGCGAACTGGACGCCCCGAACCAAGGCAATACAAGGGGCTAGCGAACTGACATGACTTTCTCGTGGTGACCAAATCCCACAATTCTAATTATTTAGCCTCTTTTTTGCCAACGGGAGTTTCGAAGATAGACGTTTTTATAGATTCAAGTTGCGAAACTCAGCTTGGGGCTCCTGCACTTCCCGAGGACAGGAAGTTCCAGACACTGACCTGTCAATCGAATGTGAGAATTCCCGCCCGAGGCAAGGCCTCCGATGAAATGTAGTCCCGTGAAATCGGAGTCTCACTTGCCCAAAGCCAATCGCCCGGATCTGACCTTTGGGCTTCCCTTTTTGGTTCATTTTTAGTCACTTCCCCAAAAGTTTTCTCCCTTTACTCGTGGATCACTGTTGGAAGAGTTCTTTCGCGTTCCGAAATCAACAGTGGCTGTGCATGTACTATGCAGGTTTCAATGGCAGAAAGCTAGCAGTTCATTTAGCGTATGAGAATGGGAAGTATGAAGTGCATGTCAGTGGCAAACAACAAAGTTTAGACTTTTTGTGGCCAATCCGCTCAATCGGAAGTGAGTACCCGAAAGAACATGGAACAATCTGCAACCTGCGTGGGCTGCTTCAAGGCAGGAGAACGTTTGACGGCTGCAACTTCCGGGTTTCAGGTTTGTTGATTCGGGGTCAACATTGGGAACAGTCAGGGTTGCATTGTTTGATTTTATTTCAATGTCTGGTCAGAGCTTTGTCCCTTGGAGCCAATACATGGGTGTCCCAATATGGGGATTCTGCATGTACCTTGGTGTCTTAAGAAGAACTCTGACTCGTTTGATCAAGTCACCAGCTGAAGCAGATATGAGAACCAGCGTGAATCGTCTAGTTCACAAGCAACCTAACCATTGAAGGCCGGGTGTCATATATATATATATATATATATATGTATATGTATGTATATATATGTATATATATATATATATATGCTTGAAGAATTCAAAGGCTTTGAAGCCTTTGGGTTTAAACGAGCTAGGCAACGTTTGTAATTGGATGAGGATATTTGTTCATGACGGAAACGAGGCCGTGAATTGTTTATTTGTGTGCGATCCCACCCTTGGGCAGCTTGCACCTGAATCTTTCAAGGGGGTCCGATAGCTTCTTGTGAATTCCTAATGGTAATGTAGTCCTTGGGGTGCATGGATGTTGTGTTTGCTACCATACTAGAGGAGGCCAGACCTCATGTCAAATTGGTGCTTTGATACCCTTTTGGTTCGTATTCCTTTCGCAATCCAAAAGGACATCAACCATTTCAGGGGACCAATTTCTCTTTGTTTGGAACCCTCACATGATTGAAACGCTCGCCCCTATTCGGTGCGAGGAATCTTCAAAACTCCAAAACGGCACTGGCTTCCAATTTGTGATCCGTGATTTCACGATCCGAAAAGCAAATCTACAACAGATGATTCGGATCTTTGGAATCCTTGCGCATGTTCACTTCTTTAACTTCTTGCGTGGTTCTGCAAAGCTCGCCCGGATGCAATCCAAGGACTAATTCCCGCGCTCTCGGCGCTATGGTTCGCGTCTGCGGACATGTACCTGAACAGCCCACGCCTCAGAAGACTTAGGTGCCACGCCTCTTGAATAGCCATAATCACTTTTTGTTTGATCTCAGGTTGTTGGTTTGCGATGGGCGTGGTGAAGGTTACCTTTGGGGCTCCTTCTTCCAAGTTGGCGGATTTTAACTCAGCCAGATGGGTTCGAAGGGTACCCCAATTTTCCTCGTTACAACCACGCAAACAACCTTCCCGGTGTGGGTGGTGAAAGGACACAACCGTTCGAAAAGGGAACTGTCTCAACTTTGTTTGCTTGCCTTTGGTTTCACCTCCAGGTGAGCTTTTTCCCAGACTGAGATGCCTTACCCTTTGGTCCTTGGGCGGTCCCTTTAAGGACCTGACTTGGCAAGAACTTGCAGTTATTGCGTTTACCAGCCTTTCTGTTTGTTAGTTTTGAGCCACAGCCCAGCAAACAATGTCAACCCTGCCCATAGGTGTCCTTTTGGATCAGTTTGGTTCGGTAGCTTCCACCAGTTTTAGCTTAGTTCCATGCCTGAGGCTGCAGATCTCAGAAAGTCAAAACCAAGTCGCAGGTATTGCTGACCCGTTTCGTTCCAACCCCAAGCCTCCTCTTTTGACCTCCCATGGGCTTCTGGGCTCCTCCAATCCATTGGTTCGCATGACGAATCCCAGGGCTCCAGCTTCATCCCCCCGTGTTTGCCCCTGCGGATCACGGCGCGAGTTCGTCTTTCGCGCGCGAGCCGCCTGCGTGTCGCAAGGCCCCAGAGGCTCCAACAACAAGCTCAGGGAGCAGAGCAACAACGTGCAGACGCTCGCTTGGATTTTGCTTCGGGAGTCGACCGTGTCACCTGCCTTTTTGGATGGCAAGGGAGAAACATGTGTTCTATGCTCCTTCTCGGCCACCTGGCAAAAAGGGTGTGTCTTTTTGTCGAGGTCCCTTTGTTGGGTTACAATGTTTGGCAGTCATGTTGGAAGTTGGCCCAGCAGAAATCATTAAACCGCCGTTAATCTCTTTAATCTCAATAGGACCTCCATGGCTTCAGCCTGTTTCGCTGTTGGCTCTTCGAAAACTTGTCCGCTTTGCGCTTTGGCGAGGCGCTCTGTGTGTGTGTGTTTTTTTTGCTACCTGTTTTTGAGTTTGTTTTGCAGCTGGCTCTGATCTTTGCAAGGCAACTCTGGTTGCAAAACGATTTTGTCTGAGCGTTGCTCCCCAACCCCTCACCCACGCTCTTTAATTAGTTGTCATGTCCTCAAAGGGACCCAATAACTTCACTTTGGGTTCGTTTGGCACGAGCGCTTGTTGTTTGTTTGTTTGTTTGTTTGTTTGCTTGCTTGCTTGCTTGCCTGCTGGCTTGCCTGCTGGCTTGCTTGTAGAATCGTTTGCCTTCCTGTGTGCTTGTTTGCTTGCCTGCTTTGCTTGTTTGCTTTCTTGCCTGCTTGCTTGCCTACTTGCCTGCTGCCTGCTTGCTTGCCTGCCTGCGTGCTTGCTTGCCTGCCTGCTTTCCTGCCTGCTTCCTTGCTTGCTTGCTTTCTTGCTTGCTTGCTTGGTTGATGGGCTGCATGGTTGCTTGCCTGCCTGCTTGCTTGCTTGCCTTCTTGCCTGGTTGCTTGCCTGCTTGCCTGCCTGCTTGCTTGCTTGCTTGCCTGCCTGCTTTCCCTGCCTGCTTCCTTGCTTGCTTGCTTTCTTGCTTGCTTGCTTGCTTGGTTGATGGGCTGCATGGTTGCTTGCCTGCTTGCTTGCTTGCCTTCTTGCCTGGTTGCTTGCCTGCTTGCCTGCCTGCTTGCTTGCCTGCCTGCTTTCCTGCCTGCTTCCTTGCTTCCTTTTCTTTCTTGCTTGCTTGCTTGCTTGCATTCTTCAAAAGGCGACAGTTCTGTTGGGATGTTTGCTGATCAATCCTGAAACAGCTATGACCATTCAGCTCCAGTGGCAAAGTCAGGGGGCCTCATTGAAGCAAGTTGCAGAATGAGTCAGATAGACTGACCACTCGTGAAATTGGTGAAAGGTACTATGCCCTCCTGAACATTGTTTGTAGTATGAATTTGAGTATCCTGAGCTAAATTGAACCAGACTATAGATAAATCGTGTTGACTGGCTTCTAGACAGAGTATGCTTTGCAAACCAGTTGGCGAAGTCCAAGAGAAAGCTTCAGTGTAGGGTATATAGTATGTTGCCGGGAGTTCAATGACAGCGGGAACGTGTCGACGTAGTCAACACAACTTATGGCCATGCATGCTTGAGGGGACAAAGTAGGAACAAGCCACTCGCAAGCTCCCTGAATTTGCATAAACTTGCTACTCACGAGGACGGCGGTTGACAGTTTGAGCTGTCTTGTGTTGCTGGTATTGTGTCACGTGTGAAGAGTCGTTGTCAGTTTCAGCATTTGACTTTGGTTTTGCGTGGTGCAACTGAGCATCGCGTCTTGTATCGCAGCCACGGGATGAGCAGTGCTTGTAGGTCTTAAGAGATTCTCACTTGCGCCATGCCGACCTTTTGACCTATCAGTTTTGCCTTGTTTGGCTATGTCCCAAGGGTATGCTTTTGTTTCCGGATTATTTGGGCAAGCGAGGATCTGCGTTTGGATCTTTGGCGTCGAGTAGCTTTGAAGACAGCTGCAAGAAAAGATGCTTACCTAGACACGCCTACACATGGCCAGACTTGACCCAACCTAGAATGCAGCTTGGGCAAACAATTAGAGTAAGAACACATGAACAGCTTGTGTTTGAGCCTGCCCGGTTGGAAATTGGCACATGACCGGTTTAGGCGGTTTTTGTCTGATTTGGTTTCGAGCAGCTTTGGGAGCTTTTGCTACAGTGTGAGATAGGTATGTTTTCGCTTGGGAGCATCCTCTCTTGCCAAGCGCTCCCTTTGGCCCACACGAGCAAGCTCCGAACCAAGGAACGCCAACCGTTTGTTCGACTCCCAGAACAACGCTGCGTCAGGCGCCCGCTTTTGTTGCTTGTGTCTTTTTTGTTGTTTTCGTTCCGCTTGTAAGCAGAGAAGGCTTCCAAGCTTCGAGCTTGAGGTTGTGGATTTGAAGCAAGCCACACTCAGCACGGAAGAGTTTTCCCTATTGGGACCTTGTCGTGGCGGTTTGCAGAAGTTGCTTTGGTCGTCGCAACGCGACAGGTTGATGTTCGTGCCACTGGCTTATGCTGCACACAGATGGCTGGCCAAGTTGTGCAGCAATCAGGCTGCCAGAAAGACAAGCAATCTCCCGTACGCATCAGTGTCCCTGTTTCGTTGTTTGCAACGCGTTGCGATGAATGCTCAGATTGGCAGGATGCCTCATGGAGCGACCCGCCAACACGGAAGCCCACAGAACGCGCACCTAGGAGGCTTATGGGCACAACGTGAGCACATGTTGGAGCACATGCACTTCAGCATGCTTCAGCATTGACAATCCCCAAAGGCCAGCATGTTCCCGCTTCCAGGGTTGAGGTGTAGGCTTGCAGGGTTGGATTTGAAAGAAAGTTCTGCATGGATTTGTTCAGGTGGTTGGCACACCAAGGGGGATTTGGGAGGGGGGGGGGTTTGCGAAGCTCAAGACAAGCACCAAGAACATAGCATTTTGAGTACTTCCTCTTCACTCCCTTCACTATTGACAACTTGGAGCGAATAAACTATGCAACCGTTCTGTTTTGGGGCACAAACCCCTTGAGAATTGCATCATATTTGTCTGCATGAGACGAACCTGGGGACATGTTTGAGTTCATTGCTTTAGCCGCTTTTTGGGTTCGGACCATTTTAGTGGCCGACGAACACTTTGTGGATTTGTTTCGGCCAATCCACTCGATCGGAAGTGAGGAATTATGGCGTAGATACCAGCTAGGTCGCATGCGCAAGCCAATGCAGGCCCTTGATGGAGCAGTGAATCTTTAGGTTGCTAGGTATAGCCGTTGGGTAGACCCCTGTCATAAATATAGAAATATATATACATATATACATCAAATAATATGTGAAAATTATGTCTATTGAGGGATGTTTTTATAAGCAACACATATTCCAAAACAACCCCGAAACAAAGGGTTTTGCTCCGACCAGGAGCGCAACCAGTGGGGTGCGTAAGATGCGTAAGAACGATTTGTGGCCAGTTTAGTTGAAATCGTAGGGAGTCCATACTCCAACCACCTTGGAGGCGGACATTAAGATGGGGTTCCTCAAATCGGAAGTAGCCTTCTCGATCCTCCTGTCAACCTATGATTGCTCCAGAGCTGGCACTCGTTTGAGTTATTACTAATTGCGAATGATGTGCAGTCTTTTGGCGCAGGCTACCAGATTGGCGATGATTGCAAGCCAGCTTGCAAAGATGGCAACAACAACTACGACGTGACTGTGGAAGGCTCTACGGATGCATTGTGAGATTCAAGAGAGCGCATTGCTTCTCTGCTTGGTACATGTAGAAAGCTCAAATGTGCTTCTGGCGTGTTCAGAAAGGTCACTCTTTCCTCCAAGGAGAGCTTTCCCCAATGTTTCCTCCCCCTGACGGACCCTTGGCACCTACGAAACCTGGGGTTGGGAGTTGGGAGGGTCAGGGAATGGGTCTTTGAGTTGAATGGGGCAGAAGCGCAACCCTTTTCTTGGTGGGCATTGACACTCTCGAAAGGAAGTCGTCATCCCCAGTGAGTCACAGGTCCAAGAGGAATCACTTGTTTCATTCTAATGCATCCTTTGGCCACCAGTCATAGAAGTGGACAGCCGGGTTTTGGACAACTACAATCTTCAATAGGCCCATCATCCACTGGTTTGTTTGAAAACAAGGTAGACCAAGTGCCGGCTGCAGCTGCCGGAGCGAATGTGCCAACTTGTGCAGCCGGCAGCGGTTGCTCTAATCCACTTCGTCACCAGATGTTCCACCGGCTGCCCTTGTTTAGTCGTGGCCCAACGCAGCAAGACATGTAGGCCGCCTCTGTTTATAAATGGGTTCATGAATCTCCTAGCTGGCGTTGACTTGGTTTATAATCTATTCATAATCGAACAGAGCCGGCGATTCAACTAGCCCAGTGGATTCATGGTCGGATGGCAAGTCCAAGGGCTCAAAATGGCGGCCCTTGCCATTGTGGGAGAGTCGGTATGTGTACCTTTTAAGGTGCCCCAAAGCACCTGAAAGCCACAGGGACAGCCTGACCCCATCCCAGGTATATGCATTCGCTATGGCTTGGCCCTCAAAAATGGCATACCAGCAACAAAGCCCTGAGGAAGCTGTCTGGGTTCCAGGTTTGTCTGCGGGAGTGTTAAGAGTTGACCCCCCAAGGTCGTCCTTCACAGGGTTGAGGTGCGTTGCCCGTTACCGCATGGGACGTCTTGACAGGTCCGCGCGGAACCTCCCAACACCTAACACTTAGAGTCATTCGAAACCCACGCTCCAGCCGAGCTCTGCAGACCAACTAGCTATGAGGGTCCCGGAGTTGCGAGCGGAGATCCGCAGCGCGTGTCCAGTCAGCTCGCTCCTCCCCATTCTCCCCAAGACAGTGTCCACAATCACCTTCTCTCCAAGAGAGTGTCCACAATCTCAAGCCCAAGCTCCCTCCAGCATTTTCCAAGGATTTCCATATATATATATATATACATATATATATATATATTATACAGTAACACACTTATCTGCTGTTTTCATGTTCGTTCCATGTTTCCAATTTTCCGGGGTAGGAGTACTCGGGGCTTTTCGGCGATGCTTTTCTCTAGGTGCCACGAAGGGCACCATGAAGTTCTACCAGGGCTCGGAGCTCTACTTGGAGTGGCACATGCAGTGACTCGGTGGGTCCAACTCCTGTGGTCCAAAGGGGTGGAAAGTGCATCGCCAGACTTCGCTTTGAGCACTTTTGTTTGGCCTTGTCTTTGTTTTTCCCCAAACAGTTTACTGTGAGGGGTTCTAAATTCATTTAAGGTGGCTCGCCTGTTGCCAAGCCCTAGCCTGGATGCCTGGCACAGCTCTCTGGGTGGACGGGTTCATTTGTCTCCCTGTGTCTCCCTTCATTTGTCTCCCGTTGTCTCCCCGCCTGGATGCCTGGCACGGCTCTCTGGGTGGACGCGTTCGTTTGTCTCCCTGGGTTCACTTGTCTCCCTTTGTCTCCCTTCATTTGTCTCCCGTTGTCTCCCAGCCTGGATGATCCAGTCTGGGTGGACGGGTTCATTTGTCTCCCTTTGTCATTTGTCTCCCGTTGTCTCCCAGCCTGGATGCCTGGCACGGCTCTCTGGGTGGACGGGTTCATTTGTCTCCCTTTGTCTCCCTTCATTTGTCTCCCAGCCTGGATGCCTGGCGCGGCTCGGGTTCATTTGTCTCCCTTTGTCTCCCTTCATTTGTCTCCCGTTGTCTCCCAGCCTGGATGCCTGGGTGGACAGATTCACTTGTCTCCCTTTGTCTCCCTTCATTTGTCGCCCGTTGTCTCCCAGCCTGGATCTGGCACGGCTCTCTGGGTGGACGGGTTCATGTGTCTCCCTTTGTCCCCTTCATTTGTCTCCCGTTCTCTCCCAGCCTGGATGCCTGGCACGGCTCTCTGGGTGGACGGGTTCATTTGTCTCCCTTTGTCTCCCTTGATTTCTCCCGTTGTCTCCCAGCCTGGATGCCTGGCACGGCTCTCTGGGTGGACGGGTTCATTTGTCACCCTTTGTCTCCCTTCATTTGTCTCCCGTTGTCTCCCAGCCTGGACGCCTGGCGCGGCTCTCTGGGTGGACGGGTTCATTTGTCTACCTTTGTCTCCCAGGATGTCTGGCACCCCTTTGTTTCCCTTCATTTGTCTCCGTTGTCTCCCAGCCTGGATGCCTGGCACTGTTTTTTTGGTGGACAGATTCACTTTTCTCCCTTTGTCTCCCTTCATTTGGCTCCTGTTGTCTCCCAGCCTGGAGGTCTGTCACGGCTCTCCAGGCGGACGGATTCACTTGTCTCCCTTGGTTCCCCTTCATTTGTCTCCCATCTCTGTGGGTGGACGGATTCATTTGTTTCCCTTTGTCTCCCTTTATTTGTCTCCCGTTGTCTCCCAGCCTGGATGCCTGGCACGGCTCTCTGGGTGGACGGATTCATTTGTCTCCCGTTGTCTCCCAGCCTGGATGTGTGGCACTCACGCTCCGCGGTTTCCTTCACTTCCCGCGGTTCTGTCCTTTTGGCGGGGTCTGGTTTGCCTTCGGCTTTGGCCCTGGCTTCGGTCATTCCTTGTCTTGTGGATGTTGGGGACAGGGTCCTCCTCTGTCTGCCCTTCATCTGGACTTCGATTTCGCTTGGGCTCGTGGTGGGTCGTCTTCCTTGTCTATCGTTGGCTACACCCTGTCTGTTCGTTCAGTGCCTCGTTATCAGTTGCGGTCCCGAGCTGACGATAGCGGTGCGCTGCGGTGCGCGGCTTCAGCTACGAGAAGGCTCTGTTAACCCCCCGGTGAAACAAACGTGAATCACGCTGGAGTTAAATCCTCTATCGATTCTTCGAGGATGTTCAACGAACCTTACGCTGAGATACCCAGTGGTGCTCTTGGCACCTGGGGTTGTCCCGGCTCTCCCGGCGGACGGGTTCATTTGTCTCCCTCTCCCTCCATTTGCCTGACGGATTCATTTGTCTCCCTTTGTCTCCCTTTATTTGGCCCCGGTTGTCTCCCAGCCTGGACGCCTGTCACGGCTCTCTGGGGTGGAGGGGTTCATTTGTCTCCCTTTGTCTCCCTTCATTTGTCTCCCGTTGTCTCCCAGCCTGGATGCCTGGCACGGCTCTCTGGGTGGACGGGTTCATTTGTCACCCTTTGTCTCCCTTCATTTGTCTCCCGTTGCCTCCCAGCCTGGATGCCTGGCACGGCTCTCTGGGTGGACGGGTTCATTTGTCTCCCTTTGTCTCCCTTCATTTGTCTGGCACGGCTCTCTGGGCTTTGTTTCCCTTCATTTGTCTCCCGTTGTCTCCCAGCCTGGATGTCTGGCACGGCTCTCCAGGCGGACAGATTCACTTGTCTCCCTTTGTCTCCCTTCATTTGTCTCCCGTTGTCTCCCAGCCTGGATGCCTGGCACGGCTCTTTGGGTGGACAGTTTCACTTGTCTCCCTTTGTCTCCCTTCATTTGGCTCCCCTTGTCTCCCAGCCTGGATGTCTGTCACGGCTCTCCAGGCGGACGGATTCACTTGTCTCCCTTGGTTCCCCTTCATTTGTCTCCCATCTCTGTGGGTGGACGGATTGATTTGTCTCCCTTTGTCTCCCTTTATTTGTCTCCCGTTGTCTCCCAGCCTGGATGCCTCTCTGGGTGGACGGATTCATTTGTCTCCCTTTGTCTCCCTTTGTTTGTCTCCCGTTGTCTCCCAGCCTGGATGCCCCTCTGGGTGGACGGATTCATTTGTCTCCCGTTGTCTCCCAGCCTGGATGTGTGGCACTCACGCTCCGCGGTTTCCTTCACTTCCCGCGGTTCTGTCCTTTTGGCGGGGTCTGGTTTGCCTTCGGCTTCGGCCCTGGCTTCGGTCATTCCTTGTCTTGTGGATGTTGGGGACAGGGTCCTCTGTCTGCCCTTCATCTGGACTTCGATTTTGCTTGGGCTCGTGGTGGGTCGTCTTCCTTGTCTATCGTTGGCTACACCCTGTCTGTTCGTTCAGTGCCTCGTTATCAGTTGCGGCCTCTCTCTGTCCTTGCTCGCATTTGGAGTCCCGAGCTGACGAGAGCGGTGCGCTGCGGTGCACGGCTTCAGCTACGAGAAGGCTCTGTTAACCCCCCGGTGAAACAAACGTGAATCACGCTGGAGTTAAATCGTCTATCGATTCTTTGATGATGTTCAACGAACCTACGCCGAGATACCCAGTGGTGCTCTTGGCACCTGGGGTTGTCCCGGCTCTCCCGGCGGACGGGTTCCTCTCCCTTCATTTGCCTGACAGATTCATTTGTCTCCCTTTGTCTCCCTTTATTTGGCCCCGGTTGTCTCCCAGCCTGGATGCCTGTCACGGCTCTCTGGGTGGACGGATTCGTTTGTCTCCCAGCTTGGATGTCTGGCACGGCTCTCCGGGCGGACGGGTTCATTTGTCTCCCTTTGTCTCCTTCTTGTTGTCCCCCAGCCTGGATGCCTGGCACGGCTCCCTGGTCATTCGCGGTGTATTCCGCGGGCACGCATGTGTGTTTGAGGCTCAGAAACGTGTGTTTGAGCGCGCGCGTGCGCTTGATCAAGCCACAGGCAGCATGCTGCGGATGCACGTACGAGTGCTTCAAGTAAATGATTGTGTGTTCTTGGTGTGTTCCAGCTGACCACATCGGCGCGTTCCAAGTGAACACGCACTTTTTGCATGTGACCACATGAGTGTGTTCCACGTCAGCACATGTTTGTGTTCCAGGTGAAAGCATGCGATTGTTCTGATAAAACACATATGCGATCCGGTCAAAATTCCTAGTAAGGGGGTTTAGTCTACAGAGGCCACCGTCGCAGTCACTTTGTGCAGTTTTTCATTCACACAAAGCGGAGTCCTGCAAATACCAATGGATTGCCCGCTCCCCACTGGAGGCGCTAGGATGGCGCTTGGTTTGCGCTAGGGTCTTCGGTGATCTTGGTTTCCAAGAGTTGGCGCGTGGGTTGCCGCGATGGGCTTTGCGTGGCTTTCAAGGGTGTAATGTTGCAGTTCTTACTTAGTACTTGAAGCCAGCCCGCACGTTTACCTTCATCTTACGTGGCCTTAATTTGTCAAATCCACACAGATGGTCGCCGTGACTCCAAAAAATACGGCGAACCCGCGCTAGCCGCGCGCTAGCAAGGCGCTAGCGCAGTGGTCAGCTGTGACCGGTTCCCAGTTACGCTTCAATCCAAATTTGCTTCCGCTCTCCTCGCATGCAATTATCATGGAGTGCGATTTGCTGGACAAAGGGGAGAAACAACGGCTGAGGCAAGACGGCAGGGATGCCTTGTACCGAGCATACGGAAGAATTGGGTTGCGTATTTCCCTGCGAAAGCAAATGCTTTACTGAATCGATACGAAGAGTTGCCACAATACGATCAAAGCACTTTAGCAATCGATACGAAAGACACTGTGCAGCTAAGCGAGAAAGAAGCGCAATGCGCCGGAAAGCTTTTGCTAAGCTGAAGCCTGTAACTGCTGGAGACGCATCCGATACTGATAGTACTAGCAGTAGTAGCAGCAGCAGCAGCAGCAGGCTCGCGCGCTAGCAATGTGTTGCAAAAAAGCTAGATTGATCGTACACGAACACTATTTTCCTACTTGGAACACGCATATAAAACACAAGCGTTGTTCAAGGCAGAGCCCCATGGAATAGCGCCTCACAGCCGGCTTCGGGAACTTGATTTATGTGTCGCCCAGGCGTGCAGGAAATGTAAATTCCATGTGAACACATTTTTGTTGTCCAGGTGAACGCATGTGTGTTGCACATTTGTGTTGCACATGTTTCTCCACATGTGCACACACGTGTGTTCCATGTGTACACATATGTGTGTTACAAGTCAACACAGAAGTTTGTTCTGGTTAAACATGCTTGTGTGATCCAGGTCTGCACCAGTGTCGCACGTGAACACAAATGCCTGTTCCAAGTGAGCGCATATATGGGTTCCAGGTGAACACATATGTGTGTTGCAGGTGAACAGAAATGTGCTTTCCAGACATACACACATATGTGTTCCAGGTGTACGCATGTGTGTGTGTGCGTGTTCCGGGCGCGCATATATATATATATATGTGTGTGTGTGTGTGTTCGCGTGTGCACATATGTGTGTTCCACATGTACACATATGTGCGTTCACGTGCGCACATATGCGTGTTGCACGTGTACACATATGTGTGTTCACGTGTACACACATGT